GAGAAAATGTTAGAGCATTTGTGTCTAACAGAGAGCACAAACACTATTAATGTGTATGTGAACGTCTTACTCCCCTGTGTGTGTGTGTGTGTGTGTGTGTGTGTGTGTGTGTGTGTGTGTGTGTGTGTGTGTGTGTGTGTATGTGAGCGTCTTACTCCCCAATGTGTGTGTGTGTGTGTGTGTGTGTGGGCGTCTTACTCCCACTGTGTGTGTGTGTGTGTGAACGTTTTACTCCCACTGTGTGTGTGTGTGTGTGAGCGTCTTACTCCCACTGTGTGTGTGTGTGTGTGTGAACGTTTACTCCCACTGTGTGTGTGTGTGTGTGTATGTAGCGTCTTACTCCCAATGTGTGTGTGTGTGTGTGTGTGTGTGTGTGTGTGTGTGTGTGTGTGTGTGTGTGTGTGTGTGTGTGGGCGTCTTACTCCCACTGTGTGTGTGTGAACGTCTTACTCCCGCTGTGTGTGTGTGTGTGAACGATTTAATCCCACTGTGTGTGTGTGTGTGTACGTCTGACTCCCCAGCAAACACCATATGCTATCATTACAAGGTTCTAGTATCTAATAAATGAAGGTAATATTCAAACGAAGGTCTACAGGAGTGACACACACACACACACACACACACACACACACACACACACACACACACACACACACACACACACACACACACACACACACACACACACACACACACACACACACACACACACACACACACACACACACACACACACACACACACACACACACACACACACACACACACACACACACACACACACACACACACACACACACACACACACACACACACACACACACACACACACACACACACTAATACACACACACACACACACACACACACACACACACACACACACACACACACACACACACACACACACACACACACACACACAGTACAGTGAGACTAAACACAGAATGAGAAAAAAACGATGTAAAACTGAGTGAGGGGAACAGCAACAGAGTGAGGGGAACAGTACAGAGTGGGGAACAGTACAAGAGTGGGGAACGGTAAAGAGTGAGGAACAGTACAAAGTGAGGGAACAGTACTAGAGTGGGGAACGGTACAAGAGTGAGGGGAACGGTACAAGGTGAGGGGAACGGTACTAGAGTGGGGAACAGTACAGAGTGGGGGAACGGTACAAGAGTGAGGGAACGGCACTAGAGTGAGGGAACAGTACTAGGTGATGGAATGGCACTAGAGTGAGAGACAGTAGTAGAGTGAGGGGAACAGTACTAGAGTGATGGGAATGGCGCTAGAGTGAGGAACAGTACAAAAGTGAGGGACAGGTACAAGAGTGGGGAACAGTACAAGAGTGAGGGGAACAGTACAGAGTGAGAGGAACAGCAACAGAGTGGGGAACGTACAAGTGAGGACAGTACAGAGTGGGGGAACAGTACAAGAGTGAGGAACAGTACAAGAGTGGGGAACAGGACAAGAGTGGGGAACAGGACAAGAGTAGGGGAACAGTACTAGAGTGAGGAACAGTACAAGGTGAGGGGAACAGCACTAGAGTGAGGAACAGCACAAGAGTGGGGGAACGGTACAAGTGAGGAACAGTACAGAGTGAGGGGAACAGTACAAGAGTGAGGGAACGGGACAAGAGTGAGGGAACGGTACTAAGTGGGGGAACGGTACAGAGTGAGGGAACGGCACTAGAGTGGGGGAATGGTACAAGAGTGAGGGAACGGTACAAAGTGGGGAACGGTACAAGATTGAGGGAATGGTACAAGAGTGAGGGGAACGGTACAAGAGTGAGGGAACGGTAGTAGAGTGAGGGGAATGGTACAAGAGTGAGGGAACGGTACAAGAGTGAGGGGAACGGTACAAGAGTGAGGGGAATGGTACAAGAGTGAGAACGGTAGTAGGGTGAGGGGAACGGTACAAGAGTGAGGGGAACGGTACAAGAGTGAGGGAACGGTACAAGAGTGAGGGGAATGGCAATAAGAGTGAGGGAACGGTACAAGAGTGAGGGGAACGGACAAGAGTGAGGGGAACGGTACTAGAGTGAGGGTAACGGTAGTAGAGTGAGGAACGGTACAAGAGTGAGGGGAACGGTACAAGAGTGAGGAGGAACAGTACAAGAGTGAGGGGAACGGTACAAGAGTGAGGGGAACGGTACAAGAGTGAGGGGAACGGTACTAGAGTGATGGGAATGGCACTAGAGTGAGGGGAACGGCAACACAGTGAGGGGAAAAGCACTAGAGTGAGAAGAACGGCAACAGAGTGAGGGGAACGGCACTAGAGTGAGGGGAACGGCATAAGAGTGAGGGGAACGGCATAAGAGTGAGGGGAACGGCATTAGAGTGAGGGTAACGGCACTCCAGTGAGGGAACGGCACTCGAGTGAGGAACGAGACACATCTTGGCTGAGGTACTCTCACCCCTCTGTTTTTATTTGGTGTGTATATCTGGGTGTCTCTGACCTCCCCACCACGGACGGACGGACGGACGGACGGACAGTAGGAAGGAAGGAAGGAAGGAAGGAAGGAAGGAAGGAAGGAAGGAAGGAAGGAAGGTGGAGGAGAATAGGGTAAGAAAGTATATGCGTAAAAGAAGTGAGAGAGAAAGGTCGGAGAGAGAGAGAGAGAGAGAGAGAGAGAGAGAGAGAGAGAGAGAGAGATCTTTCTTTATCTATGAATATCGTCAACACCAACATTTCAAAAACGTTTTTATGTATTTATCTACCTATCTATCTATTTATCTCTATCCATCTATATATTTCTTCATCTACAAACTGTAACTATATTTTTACTCTATATCTCTCTTTCTATTATTCCCCACCTGAAATATAGCAGCCACTTTTGCCAGAGATAGGGAGTTGAGGAGACTTAAACGTCTCTCCAAGAGCCTGAGCTACTGTTGGCGAGAGATCCTTAACGCCAAATTTACTGCCGCTCTAACCCAACGCCAAATTTACAGCCACCCTAAGCTGCCCGCCAAATTTACAACCACCTAATACGAAATAGCTTCCTCGTTCATAACAATTATTCGCAAACCAACTTGGGTCTCGCTTATCCTGCTGTTGCGAAGTCTAAGGGTTTGTTTAGGACTCTGAGGTGACATTAATCCGGGTCTATCTAGGGTGACGTTAATCCGGGGGTCTATCTAGGGTGACGTTAATCCGGGGTCTATCTTTCATCTAGTGACGTTAATCCGGGGTCTTCTAGGGTGACGTTAATCCGGGGTCTATCTAGGATGGCGTTAATCCGTCTATCTAGGATGGCGTTAATCCGGGGTCTATCTTGGGTAAGGTTAATCCGAGGGTCTATTTAGACTCGTTAGTCCGGGATCTGTTAAGGGTGTCGCTAATTCGGGGTTCAGCTATGTGAGATTAATCCGGGGGCCTATTTAGACTCTTTAATCCGAGGTTATTTTAGACTCGTTAATCCGGGGTCTATTAAAAAGTGAAAGTGGGCCCCATAGGGATGATTGTCTGCTCATAAAGGAATCATCATGGCCGGTACTGCGCTCGGTCTTATTCACTTCCCCAAATTAAAATGTTATATTAATCTTCCAAAACAGTAAACGTAGGTACGCATTTACAGGCGCCGTTAATCAGTTATCGTCGTTAATCCGGGGGAGAGGAATTTAGACTCACTAATCCGAGGATATATCTGGGTTAGCTTTTTACTGAACTCCTGTACACACAAACACTGACTAACTCTTCGTCCATGACCACTGATATATAAACACGAGTCACCCTTTACCTTCTGAAGTGTACTAAAATATATTATAAACCACCTAAATTGTAGATAAATAATATAATTTTAGTTATATAAACGAATTTGATCAAAAACGTTTTTATTAGAGTACTCGAGTGAGGGGAGGAAACGCTGAGTCATCTGGTAAGGTGAGCCAGAAACTAACCTAACTTAATCTAACCTAACACTATCCCAACTTAATGATAGCCTAACCACACGATAACAATAGGCTAGGTTAGTTTAAATTGTTTAGGTTAGGTTAAAACAGTTTAGGTTAAATTAGTTTAGGCTAGGTTGGGTTGGGTTGGGTTGGGTTGGGTTGGGTTGGGTTGGGTTGGGTGTTATTGTTGGGTTAGGTTAGGTTAGGTTAGGTTAGGTTAGGTTGGGCGAAGCCTAAGTGAAGTAAGCTGTGGTCTCTAAACTTCAAGTGATCCAACATTTCTACATAAAGTTTGTAGAAAATAACATCAAGTAACAGTATACAATAAACCGTGATACTGATCTATATAATTACATCTAACAATTACTTAGGCCTCTACGGTGTCGTGAATCCATAGGCCTATTTAACATTATTCCTCAAGATCTGTTTCGAGTCTTTGTTAATCCTGGGAAACAAACGATTCCTCGACCTTCCTCCTTGTACCCTCCTACCTACCTTCAGGACCACATCCTCTCCACATATCCTCCCACGCCTCTTCCCATATACGTCCTTTTCCTTACCACCCTCACACCTCTAAATTCTCCTACCTCCCAAACAACCCTCCCACGCCTCCGTCCTCATTCTCTTTAACTAAGCCGCCTAATTTCGATCTATGTTATATTAGAATCTTTAATAATTAATTACCTACCTGGAAAGATGGACCTCGTTACCTGTCATGAGAGAGAGGGGGAGGTAAGAGAGAAGGAGTAAGAGTAAGAAAGAGAGAATGAGAGATAGAGTAAGAGAAGGAGTAAGAGATTAAAAGAGAGAGAGAGAAAGAGAGAGAGAGAGAGAGAGAGAGAGAGAGAGAGAGAGAGAGAGAGAGAGAGAGAGAGAGCATTGAGTCTTCAGACAGTGTTGTCGGCACTGTACTCGACAGCCTTCACTTCGCCATCTGTAAAATCGTGTACCCATTCACATATGAGTGGACTGGGAGCAAACCAACGACCCTTAGGACACAAGACGAGCGCTGTATCCAATCGCCCGTCGTACCTCACCCTAGGAGTCAGTGTAGTCAGGAGGTCTGGTGTAGTCAGGAGGTCTGGTGTAGTCAGGAGGTCTGGGTAGTCAGGAGGTCTGGTGTATCAAGAGGTCTGGTGTAGTCAGGAGGTCTGGAGCAGTCAGGAGGTCTGGTGTAGTCAGGAGGTCTGTAGCAGGAGGTCTGGTGTAGTCAGGAGGTCTGGTGTAGTCAGGAGGTCTGGTGTAGTCAGGAGGTCTGGTGTAGTCAGGAGTCGTAGGCTGGAGGGAGGTCTGGTAGTCAGGAGGTCTGGTGTAGTCAGGAGGTCTGGTGTAGTCAGGAGGTCTGGTGTAGTCAGGAGGTCTGGTGTAGTCAGGAGGTCTGGTGGTCAGGAGGTCTGGAGCAGTCAGGAGGTCTGGAGCAGTCAGGAGGTCTGTGTAGTCAGGAGGTCTGTGACAGAGTCTGGTGTCAGAGCGTGTAGTCAGGAGGTCTGGTGCAGTCAGGAGGTCTGGTGTAGTCAGGAGGTCTGGTGTAGTCAGGAGGTCTGGTGTAGTCAGGAGGTCTGGTGCAGTCAGGGTCTGTAGTCAAGAGGCTGGTGAGTCAGGAGGTCTGGTGTAGTCAGGAGGTCTGGTGTAGTCAGGAGGTCTGGAGCAGTCAGGAGGTCTGAGCAGTCAGGAGGTCGGAGTCAGGAGGTCTGGCAGTCAGGAGGTCTGGTAGTCAGAGGTCTGGTGTAGTCAGGAGGTCTGGTGTAGTCAGGAGGTCTGGTGTAGTCAGGAGGTCTGAGCAGGAGTGTAGTCAGGAGGTCTGGTGTAGTCAGGAGGTCTGGAGCAGTCAGGAGGTCTGGTGCAGTCAGGAGGTCTGGTGTAGTCAGGAGGTCTGGTGTAGTCAGGAGGTCTGGAGCAGTCAGGAGGTCTGGAGCAGTCAGGAGGTCAGAGGTGGTCAGTAAGTCAGCGTATAGACAGCACAAAATCAGTGTGTCGTCAACAAGAGTCAGCATATCTATAAGAGTCAGTCGAGTCAGCAAGAATCAGCAAGTCAATGTATAGTCAATAAACACTCAACTTAAGCCAACATGACTGACCTCAGCAAGAGTCAGCGTGTAGTCAGAATGTGGTCAGCAAAAGTCAGTGTGTAGTCAGCAAAAGTCCGTGTGAAGTCAGCAAATTCAGTGTGAAGTCAGCAAAAGTCAGTGTTTTGTCAGCAGCAGTCAGTGTGTAGTCATCAAAAGTCAGTGTTTTGTCAGCAGCAGTCAGTGATGTAGTCAGCCTAGTCGTTGCAGGGATTTAAGCAACAAATTTCACGGTAATTTAAGTCAACATGATTCTGTTCGTCGCAGAAATATATTCCCAACAATCTGTTTCAGCCGCCACCGTCCTTGTGTTTATATGTACCACTCTATTTTTCCTCTCCTCCTCAATATATTTCATTCCGGTTGTTTTTTATGTGTCTGTGTGAGTCTTTGTACAATCTTTCTTCGTGTGAGTGTGAGTGTGTGTGTGTGTGGACGGTGTTTGAGAGTTCGAGTGAATCTTTGTAAGTTTTTCTGTGTTTGGGTGAATCTTTATACTGTGCGGTTTTTTTTTTTGTGTGTGTCTAATGTTTTTCCGTGACAAGGAAAAATCACATTGAAATCAGACCTTAGTTATTATCACATGACTATTCTATACCTCAGCGAGTTAATTTATATACAGGTGCAGTACAAACTCGTACATAAATTAGAAGGATGGACGAAGGGACGGACTGACTGACTGACTGACGGATGGATGGATGGATGGATGGATGGATGGATGGATGGATGGATGGATGGATGGACGGAAGGATGGATGGATGGATCAACTGACGGATTGATATGGATGGACTGACTGAGTATCGGACGGACGGATGGATATGAATGGATGTATTTGACTGACTGACGAACAGACGAAGTGGCGACCTGGGTGACTGACGGACGGGCGGACGGACGGACGGACGTATGGATGGATGGATGGATGGACTGAATGACTGACTGACTGACTGACTGACGAACGTGGAATAATATTAATAACACTAATAATAAGAGCATTAAATATAACTTGTTCTCTTTTAAATGAGTCCACGAAACAACAAAGTGCCAACAATATCCCACTACACAGGAGGCGGAGGCGAGGTGTACCCAGCAAACGTCTCAAGTCTCAGTACACTTTGGCCTCCATTTTTAACCCCCAGATGTCACCTTTTTGTGCTGCAGCTTGAGTGAGAGTCAGATAGATGGCGCTCTTAACTCTCCTTCAAGTGGAGGGGAGAAAGGGAGAGGGGGGTTGGGTGGAGTAAGAAGAGGAAGGAGGGTTGGGTGGAGAGAAGGGGGGAGGTGGTGGAGAAGTGGGAAGGTGGGGAATGGGACGTGGAAGGTGGGGGGAGTAAGAGGGAGGGGGGGGAAAGAGAATTGTAGGGATATGGAGGAAAAGGAGGAAGGGGGATTAAGAGGGTGAAGGTGAGGGGAGAGGGGGCAAGGTGGAGGAGGGAGGAAGGGGAAGGTGGAGGACGGAGGGAAAGGAAAGTGGGGCAGGGAGGGAAGAGGTGAGGATTAGATTGGGATGCAAAGATTGGGAGAGCGAGAGAAGTGGGGGGAAGCAGGAGGAGCATGTGAAGAGGGGGAGAAAGGGGGTGGGTGGGGAAGGAAGGAAGGGAGGATGAAGTGTTGGGGGAAGGAGAGGATGAGAGTGGGGATGCGGTGGAGGAGAAGAACTGGGGACGATGAAGAAATTTAGCGTCAAAACTGTTTTGAGACTTCAACAATATTGGGGGGGTGACTGTGTGAGATATTGGAAGAGGGAGAAACTGTGAGAGATATTGGGGGAGGAGGAGAGACTAAGAAATATATACAAAGTCTGGCGGAACAAATATTACCACTCTAGCTAAATAGTAGAGAGAGAGAGAGTCAGTGTTAGCCAAGACGTTTTGTGTTAAAGGGAAACAAATATTGTCTTTGTTATTACTGACGAACAAAAACAATGACCCAGGCGAGGACAGCCACAAGGAGACAGACAAATACTGACTAGAACAGAAAAGGTCGAGCCTTTGGGGTCAAGCCTGTTGGGGTCAAGCCTGTTGGGGTCAAGCCTGTGGGGCTCAAGCCTGTGCGGTCAAGTCTGTTGGGTCAAGCCTGTTGTGGTCAAGCCTTTGGGGGTTCAAGCCTGTGGGGTCAAGTCTGTGGGGTCAAGCCTGTTGGGGTCAAGCCTGTTGGGGTCAAGCCTGTGTATCCAGCGTGTGTCCAGTCCCAGTCGGGTCCCCAATGGACAGTGTTCTCTGGTCCCGGCCGAGCTTCCGGGGATGTACATTCAGCCTTTGTTGTGCTGTAGGCGGCGGACCCCGGGGCGGAGGGAACCTTACAGCGTAATACAATAAACATTTGCATGACTAAATCTAGTTGCATTTGCATAGTCACAAGGGACGCGTGCATTATTCTCCCATTGCAAACTACGTGAGGGATGCAACAAACAGGTAGGTGGTGTCTCTTTGTCGCTGTTACAAGGGAAATGTTGCAAGCTTGTCAACATGCATTGCACGTCACAATAACAGATAAATTGGTACACCTTTGAAGAACGACTGGCTCTGTTTTGTTGTTAATTTTGAGCTGGGTGTAAGTCATGATCTTTACAGTCTGTGAAAGAATTAGAGTTTTGAAACCACTAAGTTAATCCCCGACGATGGCTCGGTAGTTCTGAACTCCAAATTAAAATACGAGTTGAAAATGTGAAGGATTACTGTGTTGGGAAGATAGAGGTATTACACCAACACACACACACAGATACACACACAAAAACAAACAAACAAACACACACACACACACACACACACACACAGATAGACACACAAAAACAAACAAACAAACACACACACACACATACAACTAAAAAGAAAACCACTCACGTTAAAATAAGTAAATAATATGAAAAGGAACATTGAAAACTATGAAGTGAATTTGTAACGTAATTAAGTGGAGATGGTAATACAAATACGTGTCATAGGTATATAATGCAGCAACAATATTTTATGAAAGACAAATATCATCGAAATATATGAATTTAGTTCCAGGGTTTATATAGTTATTTATTACTTACAATTATTACTGATATTTGTTTTCCTCATCTGTACACTTTAAGCCTTCACTGCTGTGTTAAGTCAATTTAGAATTAATTGTTGTTCTCCTAAACTTATGTTGACAATTCACATTTTTCACAATATATCATATCACCATTTATCATTCTGTAATAACTGAATTCATGTATACTCACCTGAGTCGCCCACCTGTGTCATCCGCCTGTATCACCCAGCTGTGTCACTCACCTGTGTCGCCCACCTGTGTCGCCCACCTGTGTCACCCACCTGCGTCACCCACCTGTGTCACCCACCTGTGTCACCCACCTGCGTCACCCACCTGCGTCACCCACCTGTATCTACCCGAATTATTCTCATTACTCTCTAATGATGTTACATGAGGCAGTTTTCTTCCCGGTAATGGTGGTCCTTATTTACTTTCCAGGTAAATTGAACATAAGGTTCGTTGTGGACGGACGCATCGACCTCACCCGGGCTGTGTCACTCACCTGTGTCGCCCACCTGTGTCGCCCACCTGTGTCACCCACCTGCGTCACCCACCTGTGTCACCCACCTGTGTCACCCACCTGCGTCACCCACCTGCGTCACCCACCTGTATCTACCCGAATTATTCTCATTACTCTCTAATGATGTTACATGAGGCAGTTTTCTTCCCGGTAATGGTGGTCCTTATTTACTTTCCAGGTAAATTGAACATAAGGTTCGTTGTGGACGGACGCATCGACCTCACCCGGGCTCTCGCAGTCGCAATTTTACCTGGTAATGCTTGGTGAAATAAGGCTGTATGTAATGGGGATTGTGATTGGTGGATATATCTTCGACTGTATCACTGTCAGAATGTATATTAAATAATCCAGAGGTAGTATTTTTAAAGTGATAAAGTATTCATCGTTATTTAAAATTATAAGAAGTTTCCATATTTTCGTATTTTTGCTTAAGTAACGAAGAAAATTATTTGACTGAATTGGCAACTCAACTACAACCAGGGCTGACACAAGATTCTCACATCAAATTTTCTTCATTATCCCTAATTCAACATACAACATCCCTAACTTAACATACAACATCCCTAACTTAACATACATCCCTAACTTAACATACACCATCCCTAACTTAACATACAACATCCCTAACTCAACATACAACATCCCCAACTTAACATATAACATCCCTAACTTAACATACAACATCCCTAACTTAACATATAACATCCCTAACTTAACATACAATATCCCTAACTTAACATACAACATCCTAACTTAACATACAACATCCCTAACTTAACATACAACATCCCTAACTTAACATACAACATCCCTAACTTAACATACACCATCCCTAACTTAACATACAACATCCCTAACTTAACATATAACATCCCTAACTTAACATACAACATCCTAACTTAACATACAACATCCCTAACTTAACATACAACATCCCTAACTTAACATACAACATCCCTAACTTAACATACAACATCCCTAACTCATACAACATCCCTAACTTAACATACAACATCCCTAACTTAACATACAATCCCTAACTTAACATACAATATCCCTAACTTAACATACAACATCCCTAACTTAACATACAACATCCCTAACTTAACATACAACATCCCTAACTTAACATACAACATCCCTAACTTAACATACACCATCCCTAACTTAACATACACCATCCCTAACTTAGAACATGTTAGACCTTCAGGATATGAACACTTATAAAGTAGAAAGTTTCTCCCCAGAACTTAACAAGTAATCAAACTTTTTGTTAGGTGAGCAGCGCCTCCTTGCATAACTTGTTAAGCGGCACTTAACACCTACTTAACTACGCTTCCTGGGGATGATTTGATCAGCTGATGTTGGTGAACACTGATGATGGTGTAATGTG